GTGGGATGTGCTTTTGTACCAAAAAGGACCATAAAACAAATATTATCATAAATTTGATTAGATTAGGCCTCTAAACTTTTTTTTTAAAAACACTTTAAAAAACCCACAACAACACCAACAAAACAGGCATAACTGACGCCCAATACAGGTAAAGAGAACAACGTAAACGCATTGCTGAAAACAAACAAAAAATACAACAAAACAAAACAAAAAGTCTCGCAAATTCATGTTTACCTGTCGTGAGACCCATGAGTAGGGGTCAAGAGTGCCTACCTTCTTTTTTTCCTTTTTTGTAAAGAGTGCATTTGTTTTAAGGCTTTTGTTAAATAAAAGACGTAAGAAACTAACTGGTATCTCATTGATAGCACTGAGGTCTAACCAACGAGCCGAAAGAGGAAGTAGATATACGAGGGGGAATTTTTTTTTTAAGTAATGCAATTTCGTTTATAGCTTAAAGAAAAAATAACGCACTGGGGGAACTGTCATACCTCAAATTGAAGGGGAACATTTGAGGATCAGATTTTTATATCTCAACGTAGTCTCCATTTTGTTCAATACCCACTGTCTACCTTTTATTAAGTCAACATACGCCAGCTTCGTAAAACTGAGCAGGTTGGTCTCTGGGGTACAGCAGTCTTGGTTTCTCCATTGTTTCCATAGTGTAGACCTCTCAAGGATTCTTTTCGAGGACCGAAAACGCGGAAATCTGAAGGTGCAAAATCAGACAATCAGCTGGGTTTTGCAGTGGTTTCCACACAAACCGGGTGATTGTCTCCCTTGTTCTGGTACTCGTATGCCGGAGGCCATTGTTATGGGGGAAAAAACACTCCTTCTATTTTCAAATTTAGTCTGACTCGTCGAATATTCGCTTTCAGAAGTTTCGGAGTTTTTAATTTAGGATTCAGAATTGACAGCTGTTCCTCGTGGTAAAAAAAAAATCTGTGAGAGGCACGGTACTCTATGAACGTCCAAAAACACGGTTGCCATGATTTTTTCAGCTGATTCTTCAGGACGATGCTTGTCTGACAAGCACATGGACACCTCTTCCTCTTCTTCCGTTTCATTGATCAAAACGTCTAACCTACCTGCTATATACAGTGCCAAAATCTAGAGCTTGGGCCTTGTAAACATTTTGAAGTCTCTTTTGGATGCGACCGGTGGATTCTCCTTCTAAAACAAAAAATTCAATCACAGCCCTTTGCCTCTGACAGACCTCCAAAAGGGCAGCCATTTTGATATTACGTCATTCAGGCAAAAATCAAAGAAACTTAAATTTTAACAGTTTGAGTTCAAAAGCACATGTGCAAGTACTTGTGAGCTAAATTTCATATAATCTGATGAATACTTGCGCAAAATGACGAACAACATGCATTACTTTTTGACTCCCCCTCGTATAATTATTATGCTTTTAGGAAACGGTTTGGTTTTAGCACTAATAGTTCCTCTTTCCTACCCATACCCTTCTCCAAACAAAAAACAGAATGGTCCATTTACGACTTCCAATATCATTATACTGACCCCCCCTCCCCCTTCCCATCCCCTCCCTCCACCCACCCCCAATCCTAATGTCCTTTTAAAACTGATATTTTTTGTTATTAAGGTAGCGAACAGCATTTTTATCAGCTATTTCACGTCATCTTTCGCTGTATTAAAAAAACAACGTGTTCAAACCATTTAGGTGGCTTAGGGTGGAAGACCTTGCTTGGTCAGGGAGGGCCATTGTTCTTCAGCCTTTTTGTCCCAGCAACAATAGATACGCCATCGTGGCGTTTATAGCTTTTGTACACATGACATCGTCTGGAAACACAGGGGCTCTGTGTACACTGTTGGACCTTGACGTAAACGAAAGACACACAATGGGGTCTTTTTTTTCTTTTTTGGTTCGCCTTTTTTTAAAGCTGCTGTTGTGTTTGTTTGTTGTTGCTTTTCTTTTGCTGTTGCTGCTGCTGTTTTTTGTTTTGTTTTGTTTGGAGAGGATGTTGTATTTTTAGGGGGTTTTTTAGTCTCTTTTCTTTTGCTTTTTTCGTCCTTTTGTTAGTTAATGATGTTTTTTATTGCTTTTTTGGGGGGAGGGGGAGGAGGAAGGGGGTTGATTCATTTAGATGAGCAAAGGGTGCTGTCGGGACGTAGGTCGAAAACGCGCTTGCAACCCTCCTGCGTCTGTCCAGTCATGTTGCACGCTGACATTTCTTTTTATGATGTCTCCAGTTATAAATTTGGTTCCTTAGTCTCAAAACAAGAAAAGACAAAGATTTGCCAGTCGATTTTTGAAAAGTTTCATTTTGACCAGATGTACAGGAAATAATGTGGGTTTTTTTTTTAATCTATTGAAATTACATGTTCAAGACCATAGCCCCGTTATGAGAATCAGGTCAAAGCGTGAGTTTTGGCACGTCCTCGGACTTTATGGATTTCTTTAATTGAAATGAAGGGAGTTCCACATTGTACTGCTTTATGGACTTAACGGTTGGTCCAACCTTTGGATTTTGGCATAATTGGGAGATTACTCGGAATGACTTTGGAGTGTGCCCCTTTCGAGGCAGTATAGGCCTACATGACATTGTTAATATGAGCGGGTGGCAAGCAAGCAGTCCAAGGGCTTAGTGTACTTGTTCCCCCACTACAGCACAGGGTTTCCGTTAGACGGGCCAGCAGCTATCACAGGGAGAGGGAATATTCCGCTCAAATAACCTAAAATTTCTGTCTCACAAGGCAGCAGAAATGGCTCAGAAATTGTTGTTGTTGTTGTTGTTGTTGTTGTTGTTGTTGTTGTTGTTGTTGTTGATGATGATGTTGTTGTTGTTATGTTTGGTTTTGTCTTAAACTCTAGGTAGACAGCTACATAAATTCATAAATACATAGATACAAAGACACATAGATACATAGATAGACTAACGGAGTCGCAGAAATTTAAGTAAGGTACTCATCTAACAAAAGGAACTGGAGAGGATGTACAAGGATGACAGAGTTGGAGACGGATGTATATTATTGGATTCTAGATCGATTTCGATTCAGACTGCAACTTCAAAAATGGAGAAATCGAGATAGGATATGAGAGAGAAAGAGAGAGAGAGAGAGAGAGAGGGGGGGGAAGAGAGAGAGAGACAGACAGAGAGAGACAGAGAGAGAGAGAGTTGAGG